CATGCTTTGCTTTGAGAGAAACTGCTAGCTCGCATGGTGGTACATGCCTATAATCAGCACTTCAGAAGCGGAGGCAGGAGAATCTGCAGTTTAAGGACAGCCAGGGCTACATAGTGAGACTCTGTCTCAGGAAAAGAAGAGTTGGTGTATAGATCTGTGGCAAGGCTCTGGGATCCACCAAGACCACCACAGAGTATAAAAAAAAAAAAATGTCAGCAGATGCCTGTTCTAAAAAATGTTGGTCCATGTATGCACTGGGTGCTTTCTCCTTGCTGTGATCACATGCCTCACAAAAATAGATTAAGGGAGAAAAGGTGCATTCAGCTTCATGGTTCAAGCAACAGAACAGAGTCCATTGTGACAGCAAGGCTGGTTCCCTGTACCCACCCACTCAGGAGGCAAACAAAAATGGATGTTAATGTTCAACTGGTTTTCTTTATTTAAAAAATTCCATCCAGAATCCCAGTCCACAGGGTGAAGCCATCTACATTCAGGCTGGATGTGCCCTCCAAAAATCTAGCCTCCCTGGAAAACACTCAGATTCAAACAGAAGTATGGTTCCTGGGTAATTTTAAATCTACTCAAGTTGGCAATGAAGACTATCACAATTCACCCTCTTCAACCTGACACCACCAAACACGTGCCTTTTTTTTTTTTTTTTTTTTTTTGAACAAGGTTTCTCTACAGAGCCCTGGCTGTCCTGGAATTTAAGATGTAGACCAGGCTAGCCTTGAATTCAAAGAGATCCACCTACCTGCGCCTCCTGAATGCTGAGATTAAAGGCATGCATCTTCATGCCTGGCCGAATACATTACTTTAAAATATATATATGAGTATACTGTAGCTGTCCTACACAGAAGAGAGCATCAGATCCCATTACAGATGGTTGTGAGCCACCATGTGGGCTCTGGGAATTGAACTCAGGACCTCTAGGAAGAGCAGGCAGTGCTCTTAATCATTGAGCCATCTCTCCAGCCCCTAAATACATTACTTTTTTTTTTTTTTTTTTTTTGGGTTTTTCGAGACAGGGTTTCTCTGTGTAGCCCTGGCTGTCCTGGAACTCATTCTGTAGACCATTCTGGCCTCGAACTCAGAAATCTGCCTGCCTCTGCCTCCCAAGTGCTGGGATTAAAGGTGTGCGCCACCACCGCCCGGCAATACATTACTTTTAAAGTGTAACATTTCACCTCTGGTCCCTGAAGCCTCATGTTGATCTTTTAAAACATCTTCTATTTCTGTGTGTGCGCACGCACATGTGCAGATGCATGCCACAGAGTGCACATGGAGGTCAGAGGACAACTCTGTGCAGTTGTTTCTTTACCTGGGTTCCAGAGAGCCAACCCAGGTCACCAGGCCTGCACACCAAAAGCCTTCCCTACTGAGAAGACAACAGCCATAACAACAGTGTAAGGGAGGAAAAGATTATTTTGGCCGTGGCTCAGGGATACAGTCCGTGATGGTAAGGAAGGTATGATCACAGGTCCATGGCTAGTTAGCCCGACATGATCTGTGTTTCCTCCCCTCACACATGTGCTGACTGTGCAGAGATAAAACTTCTACAATTTTCTGTTCAGCTGTTTGTTTGTTTGTTTGTTTGGGTTTTCGAGACAGCATTTCTCTGTGTAGCCCTGGCTGTCTTGGAACTCATTCTGTAGACCAGGCTGGTCTTCAACTAAGAGATCCTCCCAAATTTTTTTCGTTTTCTTTTTAGGACAGGGTCTCAAGCTGGGTGGTGGTGATGGTCCACGCCTTTAATTCCAGCACTTAGGAGGCAGAGGCAGAGAGATTTCTGTGAGTTTGGGCCCAGCCTAGTCTACAGAGTGAGTTCCAGGACAGCCAGGGGTACACAATGAAATCCTGTCTGGGAAAAAAGAAAGAAAGAAAAGAAAGAAAGAAAGAAAGAAAGAAAGAAAGAAAGAAAGAAAGAA